CTGGAGACTAAAATACCGGAGGAATGGCTCCAGGATTGGAGTCTGGCCAAATAAAAGAAGAATTAGGGGTGACCTGAAAGCAGACTTCCAAGATTTGAGGGGCTGCCCCAAAGAAGAGGAAGGGGTCCAATGATTCTCCAAAGCAGCAGGAGGCAGAACCAGAAGCAACAGAGGAGAGAAGCAGCCTGACATTCAGGGGAAACTTCCTGACAATGAGAACAATTAACCAGAGGAACTGCTGGCCACCAGAAGTTGTGGGTGCTTCATCACTCGGAGGCTTTTAAGAGGAGGCTGGACAATCACCTATCTGGACTGGTATAAGGCGGCTAACCTTTTGGGGCTCCTGTGCCAGCACCCAGAAGACAAGGCACACCCCCTACGCACGCGTGTGCAATCCCCCCGAAAACTAGCCCTGTTTCGTCACTTCCTGTTTTTCCGAAAATCCCAGAAGTTGAGGGAATGGGCCTAGTTTTCAGCCTGCAAAGCCTGCAGAAGCCTTCCTCAAGCCTTTGGGAGGCCAAAAAAGGCCTCAAACCGGCTGAAAATGAACAGTGAGGCGCGCATGTTCCCAGGGAGGTAAGTTTGCCTGCAACTCACATGCTGGCTGAAAAGGCTTTGCGTGCCACCTGGGGAACACTTGCCGTAGGTTTGCCATCATGGGTATAGGGTCTCCTTCTGGAGCAGGGGGCTGGACTAGAAGACCTCCAAGGTCCCTTCCAGCTCTGAAACCACCCTACGTTTTTTGAAAGTTTGACAGGCCCTTCTCTGCAGCCTCGAGTGATGCCCCCCCCTCCCCCCCCGGACCCACAGCCGACCCCACAGCGCTTGGGACATGAAACTTTCTCTTTATTGAATACAGAGTCGTCCAGCAAAAGGAACAGGGGGAAAGTGGGAAGGTTTCGTGACCAGGAAACTATTCATAAATAGACTCGACCCTCCCCCCCACACCTGCCACCCCCCCCCCACAAAATATCTCTCTTGCAGCCCCCTCCCAGGTCTACCCTGCTAGCCCCACGTCAACCCTCCCCTGGCCCTCCCCTCCAGCGCTTTGGGGGGGGGTCTTCTCCTGTGAAAACTACAAGCGGTGGGGTATTATTACTAAAGTCCGATTATATAGGAGAAGAACCCGATCCGAATGTTTGCTAAAAAAATAAAACTGCAATGAAAGCTGTTGTCCCCCTTTCCCCCTCCCCACCGAGGGTCTGTTTTTGGGTACCAAGACTGTGTTGAGAGGATCGTGCCCAGAGGGAGGGGAGGGGGTGTTTTACCTTGCACTCCTCACCTCCCTCACATGTAGACTCACACACACACACACACACACACACAAACACGCAACCTTCGGTGGAGAGAAAAACACGTCAATCTGGAGGGAGAATAGGATGTCAGCAGTCAAAAATTGGGGTGTGTGGGAGCGAAGCCATCATGCCAGCTGCAGCCATAGCCTGGCACTTAAAATTAGGATTGGGGGGGGGGTCCTTGGTGCCCTCTGAGCCGGTTTCCTTGCAGATCCGACGAGGGAACTTCATCAGTGCATCTAACATAAAAAAGGGGGAATACAATCCTTGGGGAGGGGGGCGTAAACAGAAGCACAGAATCAAAAAGCCGGTGAAGTGTTAGCACCACTTTGTAAAGCCTTAGTTAAGGCCACACCTGGAAGACTGTGTCCAGTTTTGGTCCCCCACCTTACAAAAAGATGTTGAGTCTTTGGGAAAAGTACAAAGAGGAAGTAAGAGGATCAAAGGCCTGGAGACTAAAAAGTATGTGGTCAGCCGTCAAGACTCCTTTCCTTTCTCTTGCTGTCTTTTTGGCTGCCATAGTAACGGGGGGGGGGAATTAATTGGGCTTTGTGGAGGTGGGGAGCTGGAGGCTTTAGAGAATGAACTGTATAACTGGGGGGGGGGGGGGGGGGGCTTATGTTTATGCTTATTTACTTGCTTCCTGTGCCACTGCAGCTCTTTTATCAAACTAGGCCAAAGTCAACGGCCAGGTGTCTGCATCCCCACCTGAAGATGCCCCACAGGACATTTCGCACATCTTTGATTGGATGGACCATTTGAACTGTGGTGGGTGGGAACGTTGCCATCACTTCAGACGTGTGCTTTTCGCGCATAAATCCTCAGACCCAGAATCCTTTTGATGCTTCCACTTCCAGTAAAAGTTTTGTTTTCTCTAGCACAACGGAGGAGTCTAAGAGTGTCTTTCCTGGACTTTTAACAGAGCACCGTCGGACAGGAGGAAGACAAACAGACGCTTCTGCAACCTGCAGCTCTCTCCCCCCCCCCCCCCCCCCCCCCCCCCCCCCCCGCCCGCGCCAACTCCCTAAAAAAAAGTGCAGAGAACAACTACGACGATTAAAGGACGGGAGGATAAAACACAGGAGGACCGGCTGCAGGGTTTGGGCTTGGCTAGTCTAAAAAGAAAAAAGAAAAAAAGAATTAGGGGGGATAGGATAGCAGGATTGCAGGATTGGAGGGGCTGCCCCAAAGAAGATTTGGGGGTCAGCTTAAGCAACGGGTGGAAATTCATCAAGGAGAGAAGCAACCTGGAATTGGGGAGAAAGTTTTCTCATAGCGAGAACAATGAACCCGTGGAACTGCTTGCCTCCAGAAGTTGTGGGTGCTCCCATCCCTGGAGGTTCTTAAGAAGAGACAGGATAGCCACCTGTCTGAAATAGGATAGATTCTCCTGCTTGAGCAGGGGGGTTGGACTAGAAGACCTCCAAGGCCCCTCCCAGATCTATTCTGATTGGCTTAGCACTGATGTGACCTAATTGGAGCATGGAACGTCTGCAAGAAAACCACCAAACTCAGAGAGCACCCAGGACCTCACAGTTCAACGGGGAGCTATAAAAATGATGTGGTTTTTTTTTAAGGCTTCTCCGCTCAGTCCCCATCCAGGTGCAGCGGGGATGGAGAACTCCCTGCAGGGAGCTTTCCAGATGTTCTGCGTCTCTGAGCATCCCAAGCCAGATGCCGAGGCCTGCAGAGAATGGAACGGATTGCTTTCCAGAGGCTCCCACAAGCGAAGCCCACCGGGGGGGGGGGGGGGGGGGGGGGGGGGGGGTCCCCGCCCCCCCCCCCGGCGGCGGCCCGTGGGGGGGGGGGGGGGGGGCTGCTGCGGTGAGTTTCCCGCACTGCCCTCCTTCAATGAGATTTTGGTGGCTGAGAATGATTCTCTTATGTACTAAACACATACAACAGGCACACACGCAAACACACACACACACACACACACACACACACACAGAGCGAGATAGGCAGAGAGCCTGCTGCAACCCCGTGGAAGTCACTCTGCAAATATATCTTCCCTAAAGTCAGGAACCCAGGGAGGAGGAGGAAGGCAGATAGGGAAAGGGGAAGAGAAGGAAGGGAGGAGGTGGAAGAGGAGGAGAAAAGAGGGAGGAGGGAGGAGGAGAAAAGGAAGAAAACGCAGGGAGGAGGAGGAGGAGAAGGAAGGCACCTAGGGGAAGGAGAAAAGGAGGAGGGAGAAAAGGAGGAGGAAGAAGAGGAGAAAAGGAAAAGAAGGGAGGAGAAAAGAGAAGACCTTAAGCCACCAGACTCGAAATTCTAGACCTAGAAAACCTAGAACTACGCTGCTTCCGGTCCGATCTAAGTATAATATATAAAATCATACCTTGCAATGTCCTACCTGTGAATGAATACTTCAGCTTCAACCATAACAACACAAGAGCAAACAATAGATACAAACTCAAGGTTAACCGCACCAAACTTGATTGCAGGAAATAAGGACTTCAGCAACAGAGGGGTCAATGTCTGGAATCCTCTACCTGACTCTGTGGTTTCTTCCCCAAACCCCCAAAACTTTAACCTTAGACCGTCTCCTATTGACCTCACCCCTTTCCTAAGAGGTCTGTAGGGGGCCTGCATAAGCGCACCAATGTGCCTACTGTCCCTGTCTTCTTTTATTTTTATTTTGCTTATATGTATCCATGTGTTCATAACTATGTTTTTACTTATACCTGTTCATCTTCTAAGCAATTGACCAACCAAATAAAATAAATAAAGGAAGGAAGGCAGCTAGGGGAAGGAGAAGAGGAGAAGGAAGGACGGAGAAGAGGAGGAGAAAAGGAAGGCAGACAGAAGAAGCGGAAGAGAAGGCAGGAGGGAGGAGGGGAGGAAGAGAGACGCTTGCTCTGGCCGTGGGCAAAAGCAGCTGTGACCCAGCAGTCCCCGATACCTTCTGGGCAACACCAACAGAAGAAAGGGGGCACACACAGACCCCTCCCCACGTGCCCCCCCCAGAGCTGCAGAGGACGATGTGAAGACCACCTACCACCCCCCTCTCTCTCACACACACACAGCCAGACACAACGGCAAACCCACCCTAACAACTGCTGGGGGTGGGGCAGGGGGGGCAAATTTCTCCCCCACTCAAGTCCACCACCCCCACCTACGCCCCTTGCGCAGGGCCTCTCCCGGTGTGGCCCCCCGTTTCTTCCTTGGCAGGGCATGCCCCCACCGCCTTTCAGAACCATCCTTCTGCCCCCCCCAAGCAAAAGAGGATGGCCCTTTGGGGAGGGAAACGGGGGGGGGCTAGGAGGCAAGGAGAGGCTCTACAGCCGTGGGTCAGGGTCACTACTAAGGTGTGTGTGGGGGGGAGGAGCACTGTGTGACCCCTCCTCCAATTTTCCTATTGCACCCGCCCCAGAGGGAAATAGATTTGGGTCCCACAGTGCCTTAGAAAGGGGTCACAATCCCACCCCTCCAAAGTCTGTCTAGCCCCGAATTGTCTTGGCAAGATTGCAACTCCCTTATTATTTACAGGCCCATCAGTTTTAGGCGGGGGGGGGGGGGGGCATCGCCGCCCCGGGGGGGGGCCCCGCCCCCCCCCCCCCGGGGGGCCCCCCAGCCCACCCCCCCCCCAACCTCTTGTGTCCTTTTGCTTTCTGGCTGGCCTGGCGGTGGGGGGCGGTGGGGGGGCAGCCGAGGGCGCGAATTCCGACTCCTCACACCAGGTGGGGGTGGGGGAGAACCCGCTGGCTCGGCCTGGGAGGGTTGGGCCGCTCCCAGCGCCCATGCGTCGGGGGGTGGGGCGAGGGGCTCGCTTCCAGGGGGCGGAGGGCCTCCTAGCTGGCCAGGGTGCGTTGCAAATTCAGGCGGTTCATCTTGGCTTCTTCCAGGCCTTGGAGCTTCTGCAGCTGGAGCTCGTCCAGGTGCCTCCAGAGCTCCTGGCGCTCCTTCTCCTTCTTCAGTTCCCTGCGGGGAGGGGCAGGAGGAGAGGGGGGGGGTCAGGGGCAGAGGAAGAGGCTTGGCATCCCCCTTCACCCACCCCCCCGCCCCCCCGCCCCAAGCAGGTGCCCAGAAAAAGTGACAACATTCGGAATCACGGAATGATGGGAGTTGGGAGGAATCGTGGAGGACTCCAACCGTGGCAGCAACTTTATGACGTGTGGACTTCAACTCCCAGAATTCCCCACCCAGCCCTAGAGACTGGGCAGCCATTTGGCCCAATAAAGTATACCTACACCAGAGACCCTCAACCCTCCAGGCCACGCTCCACTGCACGAGCAACAGGCTGGCAAGTATCCACACGTGCGCACAGCTCAACTTGAACAACATGCGTGTGTGTGTGTGTGTGTGTGCGCACACTGGCCCACCACTCGTGCGGCTTTAGTTCCCGTCTCCCCCTTTCCAGCGGGGCCACCAAGCCACAACAGTTGCGGACCACTGACCTACGTGATTGGCCGAACGTGGAGTTTGCCCGACTGTATTTCCGAATAACAGCGCCGGAAGGGACATCGGAGGTCTTCTAGTCCAACCCCCTGCCCAAGCAGGAGGCTTAAAACACTTCCTGAGGGTAAGATCTGAACATCAGTTGTAAGAGACTGTGATTTCTCCCTCTTTGGAGGTTTTGGACACACACGCACACACACAGAGTCACAGGAGTGGTTTAGCTAATTTTCTTGCGCTCCCAACCTAGAATGAAGGAGAAACTTCCTGACAGGGAGAACAATTAACTAGTGGAACAACTTGCCACCAGAAGTTATGGATGTTCCATCACTGGAGGTTTTTTAAGAAGAGACTGGACTGGTCTGAAATGGCAGAGGGTCTCCTGCTTGAGCAAGGGGTTGGACTAGAAGATCTCTGAGGCCCCTTCCGACTCTGTTATTCCGTATTTTTATCCTTGGGATCCCTTCTGACTCCATAATTCTATGACTGTTGACTGAACCCTCGACTAACTCGATGGGCTGCTTTGTACAAGATGCCAAGTCCACCCCCCGACCCCCCATTCACCACACCAAGCCAAGCTTAGCATGTCATGTGAATTCGGTCAAATGGTTTCAGGCAGAAAGGGAAGTACTGTAAAGTCATGCTGGCTGGGGAATTCTGGGAACTGAAGTCCACGGGTCTTCATGTTGCCAAGGTTGGACATCTTTGGTTTAGCTTGTCCAGCTTTCCCACCCCATCTTCTGAAACCATGGAAGACCAGCGAGCTCTGTTCTTCGGTTCCATCACCAAGAGTTGCCCGCCCACCGCCCCCCCCCCCCCCCCCACCCCCCACCCAAACAGTTCACACCCTCCCACAAACACACTTACTGCTGCTTCTCCACCTTGTAGGAAGCAGTGAGTTCGTCGAAGAGCTTGCTGTTCATCTCCATGAAGGTCTTGAGGACGTTGTAGACCAGGGACACAATGGTCCTGGGGAGAGATGTGGGACGAGGGGGTGAGAGTAAGAAGACAAAGCTGGGACACACGGGGAGGACCGACATTCCTACAGTCCCACAACTACGACAACTCGCCACAGCCAAGTAGCCATGGTCAACTCTCCATGGCCAAGCAGCCATGGTCAACTCTTCATGGCCAACACTCCAAGGCCAACTCACTACAGCCAAGTAGCCATGGTCAACTCTCTATGGCCAAGTAGCCATGGTCAACTCTCCAAGGCCAACTCACTACAGCCAAGTAGCCATGGTCAACTCTCTATGGCCAAGTAGCCATGGTCAACTCTCCATAACCAACTCACCACAGCCAACTCTTCATGGCCAAGTAGCCATGGTCAACTTGCCATAGCCGACTCACTGTATGACATGAGTCATATCAAAGAAACGGCTGAACAGAATCATTAAGGAAAGGATGCCGGAGGAGGGACAAAATAAAATGTGAATGACAACACTGATAATATTTTTGTCGGGCCCTCTTAGGGATGCTGCCATTTTGGCAGGGTGGGTGGGTGGGTGGGGGGGTTTGGAGCCGAATTCCTGGCATGTTTTCACTTTTGTTCTAACCAGGTGGGATTTAGGGAGGGGGACCCAGTCAAAATGGCGGCCTTCCTGCCAGCCACTTCCAGCCTGTTACCAAAGTCCCACCGTCCTGTGGATGAACCGCTATCAACCCAACACCTCGGAGTTCTCCCAATACCCTTCTGGCATCCCACCGGCTACTGGTGGTCCGAGGGGCACTGGGGTCGGGCCTGAAGGGGGAAAATAGCCTAACGCTTTCCGCGGAAACTTCCGCTTCTCCCCGTCTTCCCTGCAATCACTTTCTATCGGTAAAAAAGTTTCCTCTTGAAATAACCCTGTCAACTCATAACACATTTCTAGGCCTGTTTTAGAGTTGCCATGAACAGAAAGGGGGGTGGGATTTGAAAGAGCAATGCGGCAGTTTGGAACCCGAAGTGCATCCCATTCTGATCTTGGAAAGAGGATACGACTAAGCTACTGGAATTTCTGCCAGCAGATCCCTAATTGGAGAACGTGATTGAGGACTCTCCTCTGCGAATGCGTTTCCTTGAAGAATCTGGGTTATGATGCACCCAGAGGGGTACGAGGAAACCAGCGTCACGGAATGCCGACAGGTTCGCTCCTAACCAATCCTTCGAAGTTTTGGAAGCTTGGCTTGAGGCTCATGGTGTAATTAGGGCAACTGCCGGAATCCTGACAGCTGATTCTGAGACACGTAATTCCGACAAATCCCTTGTTTCCAGAGCCATGCTTTCCTGGGGTGGGGAGAGCTGAGGTGGGTCCCTATAATTTGTTTTTAAAAAACATTTGAAATAATTGAATTACTGAATTGACCTGCAGCAAATTGTCCCGTGGAGAGTTGTTCCATTTCAATTGACCAAGAGGACAACCTACACCAGGTTGTAATTTCCTGGAGTGGGAAGTGAGCTTTTTTTTTTGTTTCCCAGGTGGGTTTTCTAACTTTGGGGAGCTGTGAGGAAATCCTTCTTCTCCAACCAAGTTCTCCCCAGCACTCTGCCTGCTGGACTCACGGGTTCCAATGCTCCTTGGAGACGCGGTAGAGCGTGCCGAAGATGGTAGGGAGCACCGTGTGACAATTGTCCTCCACCAGGCTCAGGATATATTCGTTGTTCCAGAAATAGAGCGCCCGTTCGGCCACCTGTTTTCGGGGCGGGGGCACAGAAGAGAGATTGTGAGGATTTGAAAAGCCCATTTGAAAAGCCCCCGGCCCAGCTGCCTTCAAGCTAGGTAGTCCTTGACTTACGACTACGAGGGAACCCAACGTTTCTGTGGTTAAGTGAGACATTTCCCTTGCTAAGCCAGACACCCACAGAATTCGCCTTAGGCTTGTGTGGATATTTTTCATGGAATTTTCCCACCAATCTATCAGCATTGACTTTCCAGCTATTTACCCAAGTTGCTTGTGAAATCGGATCACCTTTCCAATAAATTAAATATTGTAACTTCCCCCTGAAAATCCTAGAATCCAAAATTTCCTTAACCTCCTAATGTTCATGCCCGCAATGAACGAAGGCTTCGGAGCTGCATGTTCCGCTGGCCTCAATGAAGAATCAACAAACGGCTTTAATCAACCACCACGAAACACCGGATGTACTTTCCCCAATAGCCATGGGAGAGTAAGTTTCACAGCTACTTTTCTGGCCCAAGTGTCCGAATTTTGATCACGTGACACGGGGAGGCTGCGTCGGTCATAAGCGTGTGAAAAACGGTCATAAGTCACTTCTTTCAGTGCTGTTGTAACTTTGAACGATCACTCAATGAATGGTTATAAGTAGAGGATGACCTGTACGGCAGTGTTTGAATTGCGACCGATGGCTTAACGATGGTCTGAGGTTACAACAGCCTCAGAAAAAGTGGCTTATGACCCATTCTCGAAGTTGCGACTGTCGCGCATCGGATCACAAAATATCACGACTGGCTATCTCAATAGAGATGGTCACTAGGGGACTGAAGTTTCTGCCACGCAAAATTCTACCTGGAGAGCCTGATGGATGACTCTGGGCTATGGAGGTGTCCCATTGGAGGATATGGATTAGGATACACCCGGGGAGTGGAGGGAAAACCAGGGTCAAGGGTGACAATGAATGATGTGCCTCAGAGTTGGCTCCACCCAGGCAGTGCCGGACACGTTAACTCCCAATATGTTGTGGTTCACCGGCAGCCGGTGCAGACAGCAGCGGAGTCAGGCAGTGGGGAAGAACGGGGACCAGTCCAGGAGTCTGGGGAGGAATCGGACGAGGGTCCTGCATCCGATGCAGGGATGGAGCCAGGACCATCTGACAGTGGGGTGCTGCCTTCAGAGTCTGGCAGCAGCCAGGCCGAGGAACAAGGGGAGCCTGTTCCCAGTGCGCGTGTGCGCAGAGCTGCTAGAAGGAGAGAGCAGCTAAGACAAAAGGGGCAACTCGGGAGTAAGGCTGGGAGGTGATGGCCCCTCCCATAAGGGATAAAAATCAGGCCTAAATGACGAAACCTTTGCAGGAAGCAAAGTCGTTCGATTGGTTCCGAGTCCTCTTTGAAGCTCTTTTGTACTTTGGTTGGTTTCTTTTCTAGTTCATTTGATGCTTCTCTATTTGGCCTCACTTCACAGAACTGAAAGGTGGGTGCTTATCTTGGGGAACTGTTTGAGATTAGCTCCGGCTGGGAAGTAAAACAATTCTCAGCATCGTAATAAAATAAGTCTTGTTTTTAAAATAAGTTTGTGCGTGATTACGGTTTACGAAGCCTGGGTCAGAACACAAATAAATCCTTTGTTAAGTTTTGGAAGTTTGGCTCGAGACTCCTGATTTAATTGGGGGTAACGCCCGGACTCCTGACACCCGGCTTCTAATAAGCAAAATCAATGCGGCGGGTCAGAGTCACTTAGTGACCACACAATTCGCTTAACAACCATGCAATTTCCTTAATAACCACAGTAAAAAATGACTGTGAAATGCAGTCCCGGTCACGGGGTGACTTGCGTCAGTTGCATTGCTTTGCAACTGAAATTCCGTCTCCCGTCGTGGTCGTGGGTTGAAGACGACCTCTGCGATGGCTCCCCCCTGCCCCCTTTGCTCGGTGCCCCCTTCCCAAAGCACCTGGAAGTGGGGGCTGGCGATGCATCGCGCCACTTGCTTGAAGAGCGGCTCCTGGATCTTCACGAACTGTGAGGGCTCGATCACATCCAGGATCTCCTCGATTTCCCCCAAGAGCATCACCTGATCAGGAAGGAGGCGGGGAGAGGGGGGGGGGTTGAAGGACCGGGACCCTCCGGCCGGTGCATTTGCAGGGCCCGACCCCTCCCCCCCCGCCGCCAACATGCATGCAACACCGCCTACCCACCACCCTCGGCGGGGGCCTTCAGTACCTCTTTCTGGGTGCAGGTCTTCGGCCAGTATTTCAACAGGCCCCGTATCACCTGCCAAAGAAAAGAGATTCATTGATTAATTTGTTTGCATTGAGTGAATGGCATCTGCAGAGGTCATGCGATACACAAATTTAATTTAAATAAAAGCGTCAACAAACATTTGTGTGTGTGTGTGTCTGTGTGTGATTTTTTTTTAACACTAAACGGATGGTTGTAAGTTGAGGACTACACACACAGAGACACACACAGTCCTCACAACCATCTGTTTAATGTTAAAAATAACCCCCAAAGAGTTTTTTAAAACAAAACTTTTTAACCAAAGCGCGAGAAGGCAGGCCAAGAAACAACGGATGGAAACGAATCCTGGAGCGACAGGAGAAATGTGAGGACCATCGCCCAGCGGGACAGAAGTCGTCTCCAGGAGCTCTGGGTGGTCCATCGCTGGAGGCTTTGAAGAAGAGACTCGGCAGCCACTTGGGATGATCCGGAGCGTAGCACAAAAGCAACCAAGTCACAAAAGCAGGTGAAGTTCCTTTAATTCCTCCAACTTGGGCTCCAATGAACAGTTATTTAAAAAAAAAAAAAACCTCTCCCAAGAACAGTTTTTAAAGGGAAGAAATTCAGTCTGAACCCAAAGCACATCTAAATTACAAATAAAAACCAACACAAACCACCGGCTGCAGCAATTAACGAGACAGAGCAAGGTAAGGAATTGCAGGCTTCAAAAGATAACGAAACACACACGGTTGAGAGGACGCCAGAACCCAGATAAGATGTGACAAAGAAAGAGAATTCCAGCAAGATGCTCTGCACAAACCCCCTCTTGATCCTGTTTTCCCAGCTGCAGCTAATGAAGGGAATCAGGGCCCTTTCCTCTCCCGTAAGCCATGTTGCTCCCTTATCCATTCCTCCCTGCGTGCCCTAGGATGAAGAGGGGGTGGGCCGGGGTCTTCCTCTGAATGCCCAGCCGGACTGTGCCCTTCCCCCGTTTCCTCCACAGCCATGGAAGCCCCCCTCCCACTCCCGGTCAGCTGTTCGACCTCCCCCTGGGAATCAGATTCCAACATGACACTGCCTCCTGAAATGGTATAGGGTCTCCTGCTTGAGCAAGGGGTTGGACTAGAAGACCTCTGGGGTGCCTTCCAACCCTGTTATTCTATGTTTGCAGGAACTGGGCCTGGCTAGTCTAGAGAAAAGAAGAATTAGGGGTGGCATGAGAGCAGCCTTCCAGGATTGGAGGGGCTGCCCCAAAGAAGATTTGGGGGTCCGCTTATCCTCCAAAGCACCAGAAGGCAGGACAAGAAATAACGGATGGAAACTGATCAAGGAGAGAATTAAAGGAGAAACTTCCTGAACATTGAGGACAATTAACCAGTGGAACTGCTTGCCACTAGGTTTGCCCCGCTGCCAAATCTCGCCCAGCCCACCCACGGCCCTCCCCTCAGCTGCAGCCATGCCCTCCGCCCCTTTGCAGAGGCCGGACGACTCACATGCTCGGTCAGCGTGGCGTCTTTCTCCAAGAACTGGACCACGCAGTAGGCCAGCTGGAAGAGAGGAATCCGGGTCAGGAACCCACCAGGGCCCAGAGCGCCCCCTGAAGGCTCGTCTCTGCCCCCAACCCCGGGGTGGCTGGCCGGGCACTGCCAGGCTCACCTGGGCGTGGAAAATGGAGAGCGATTTGACGGAGTGAAGCGGGATGAGAACCCGGACGAGGAACTGCTTGTGTTCCGCCTTCAGGGGCAGCGCGAAGCCGTTGATGATGCTGAAAGAGACGCCGAGGAGGGGGTGATGGGGGGGGAGGGGGGGGGGGAGGGGCATCCCCGGCAGGGCCAGTGTAGCTACGCGGCTTGAGGAGTGGACTTCAACTCCCAGAATTCCCCAGAGGTTGAGAAACAGTAATACACCAGTTTTTCCATTTTCTTTTCTTTCTTCCTTTCTTTCTTTCCCCTCTCTCTTTCCTTTCTTCCTTTCTTTCCTTCCCTTTTTCCTTCCCATCCCACCGCATCCCAGTTTCCTTTTTCTCCTTCCTTCTTTTGTTTTTTCTTTCACTTTCCTTCCTTCCCTTTTTCTTCCTTTCCTTCTCTTTTTCTTTTTCTTCCTATCCCCTTCTTTCCTTCTTTCCTTTTCTTCCTTTTTTTTCTTTCCTCTTTTTCCCTCCTTCCTTCCTTCCTTTCCTCCCTTTCTTTCTCCTTTCCTTTCTCCTTTTCCCTTCTTTTCCTTTCCTTCCTTCCCTTTTTTCTTCCCATCCCATCCCTTGTTTCCTTTTTCTCCCTCCTTCTTTCTTTTTCTTTCTTTCCTTTTTTCTTTTTCTTTCTTTCTTTCCTTGGGAAGGTGCCCCAAGGATGCACAGGGGAAAGCTGGATTTGCTTAACCACCGTGTCAAACAGCAACAACAACAACAACAAAAGGTCGTAAAATCGGCCCCATTAATTTAACGACCACGTTCATTGAACAACCACACAGCTTAGGGATGGGACTTCTGGTCCCAGTTCTGGTCGTTACCTGTAACAAAAAGTGACTTTTACAATAAAACAAACGCAGGAAGGTGGGCTTGTCTCAATGCTCCTTTCGGGTGCTAAGAACTGTTTAAAAAGAGGCAGAAATTGGACATTTGGCTTCTCCGCCCACCAGGTCAAAGGATCTCTGCAGGTCCGGTCTCCAGGTGAGACAGACCAGGTGAGACAGAGGAAAACAGTCTCCAAACTGTCAAAGGGAGGAAGAGGAAACATTTCCTCCCCTGTTTTCCTGTGTGCAGAAGGACCACCAGTGGACTAAAACCACCGTTCAAAGAGATCCAGATGAGTAGGAACTGGATAGACCGGGAACCACGGGGTGGGATCGCTGCCCGGCTGCTGGGTGGGCACAGCCATGGTGGGGGTGGCCTACCGGGACGTCCGCGAGGGCCGTTCTTCGCCTCCCCCGGGGTCTGGAGGCCTTCTGGAAGCCAGAAACGGGCCCCCTTTTCACCCTCCCGGGGCCTCTGTGTGGACCCTGCACTTACCTGCATCCCAAATGGGCCTCGGGGAGGGGGAGGGAGGGGGAGACGGGGCCAGGCGGTCGGTTAAACTATCGGTTCGGTGAACTAGATGTAAATTTAACACCCGCTTTGCCCAAACCGGTCTGAATCCCACCCTTGCCGGCAGCCTGTGGAACCCGCCGCCCCATGAAGTGGCAAGTTCTCCTTGGCTAAAGGTCTTCGGCCAAAGGGCTTGGAGGTCCCTCCTTTCAAGAGATGGCTCTCCTGGATCCTGCCCTCAAGCAGGGGGTTGGACTAGATGACCTCGGGGCTCCCTTCCCACGAACGGGGAAAGGCCATCCTTGCTATGCCCTCACGGAGCGTTTGCTTGGCCCCCAGCCCTGAAAGATTTACCTTCCGAGGATTTCTAGTAATTCAGCCACTCCGTTGAAATGTTCGGTCTCGTAGATAAACCTGTCGGGGAGGGAAGGAAAGGAAGAAACAGGGAGGCTTTTATTCTCGTCCCATTGTCTCTTCCCTAAAATCTGAGGTTGGCAGGCAACTCCTCCCTCCCTCCCTCCCTCTCCCCTTTGCCCCCTTTCCCCATCTTCCTGAAACACGACAGGTAGGTCTACAGGCTCCGTCGATAAGGTTCCCCCTTGGAACTAATCAGAAATTCTGGGGCCAGGTCAGAAATCGAAAAAGGGTTGCGCACAAAAAGGACGCTCCTCGGTGGCTGGGGGTGAAACACGCAGGCCAAGCTCACCTCAAAAAAATGTTATTGCATTGCTTGCGAATGTACGCCCGAAGGCCCAGGAATTTGCCGTAAACCCGGTGAAGGATGGTCTTGAGGTATTCGCGTTCCCTGGGGTCTTCGCTGTCAAACAATTCTAGCAGCTGGAGGAAGGCGGGCGAGAGAGAAAAAGAGCATTATTGTTGCCAAGGATTTGGAAAACGTTTCCCACTTCATGACCGCAAATGCATTGTAAGTTATTAAAGCCATCCTAATGGGCTAGCCTCGAACTGTTATATTTCACTATTCTGTTCTATTCTATTCTATTCTATTCTATTCTATTCTGTTCTGTTCTGTTCTGTTCTCTTCTATTCTGTTCTCTTCTCTTCTATTATTCCATTCATTTTATTCTGTTCTGTTCTGTTCTATTCCATTCTGAACGGAAAAGGCAGAATTAGAGGTCTTCTAGTCCGACCCTCTGCTCCAGCAGGAGACCTTGTGCCATTTCAGGACAATTCTCTTCTTGAACACCTCCGGTGATGGGAGCACCCACGACCGTCCCACCGTGATTCCCGGCCGTAAAACCCTTCCTATTGCTCTCACTTACCATCAACACGAATTTCTGGTCTATGTATCGCTTGGCCACCGAGGGCTGGAAGTCTGGACTTTCAAGGAACCGGAGGAAAAATTCATATACAAGCTGGGAAGAGAAAGAGGGAGAGAAGGAGAAGCCATCAAACCCAACTCAACTTTCTTTGTCCACCAGGAGGCAAATGCCTGAAAGCCTTGAAAAGGTGGAAGCTCCACCAGGCCAGGGGGTGAAACGCTAGCGGTTCATACCGGTTTGTCCGAAGCGGTAGTTAAAAAAAAAAAAAAGGCTCCCACGATCAGCTGAGAGGATATAAAAAAAAGAAAAGCGCAGGATCTGCCTGCCGCTGGTGAAGATGTTGTTACTCTGGCCTCTCTGATAAACAGGTGGTCAACTCATAAAATATTTCTATGGTTTTTTTAGAGTTGCCAAAAAAGAAATGGGGGGCGGGGGGAGAGAGCAGCAGCTTGGAAATCGAAAGTGCATTCCACGCATCCTTTTTCAAAGATAGCAAGCGATTAATCTCCAGGCCTTCGGAAGGACTCTCACCTGGAGATGCGGCCAGGACGGTTCCAGATTTGGTTCGTCTTCTTCGGGATCGAACTCCGGATTTTCACTGGGTGGAAGAATTCGGAAAATGTTGACTGAGATCTGGAGGGAGAAGGGAGAGTTCAGCCCAAGCCCAAAATCTGGAAATGAGACCACCTTTCAAGGCCAGCACTGACCCCACCCAAGCTTCGGATCCAGAGCTAAGCCCCAGGAAAAAAAAAACATCACAGGAGAGATCCAACCTGGAGCTAAGGAGAAATTTACTGGCAGGGAGAACAATTAACCCGTGGAACAGCTTGCCACCAGAAGTTGTGGGGGCTTCATCGCTGGAGGCTTTTAAGATGAGGTTAGACAGCCATTTGTTGAGATTGGGATAGGCTTTCCTGCTTAGTAGGGGGTTGGACTAGAAGCCCCCAACCCTGTTATAGGATGGAGTTCTTCTAGTCCAGGGGTCGCCAACTTTTGGGACCTCAGGGACCACCAAACTCATCATTTTAAATCCCGCAGACCAGAGACCCTGGGGAAATCCCCCCAAAAGTCTGCAGGAAAATTCCCCACCCCATTTTCCTACCCATTGATCGTTCTTTATTTGGGATCGCAGGATACCGTCTCCAGCTCCGTTCTCGGGGGGAGAGAGGAGAGACTTTTGGCTTCATGCAAGGAAAGCAGCAGAAGCTGTAGAAGTCTTTCTTTCTCTCCCCCAAACTCCGCCAGAAATGAGTCTTTGCCAGCACAGCCTCTTGGAGCAGGAGGCCTTGCAGGGTCCCAAAGACTCATCTCTGGCGGAGTTTGGGGGAGAGAAAGAAAGACTTTGGCTGCTTTCCTTGCGTGCAGCCAGAAGCAGAAGAAAGAAGTGGAAAGAGCAGCCCGGTGGCCAGGCAAGGCGCGTGGGGCGCGTGGGGCAAGTCTTCCCCCTCCGCCCTTCCCCCCCTCCCCTCACCACCTCACGTGGTCCGCAATGCAAGCGACACAAGCCTTGTGTTCCCGCGGGCCATGTGGGCAGCCTGGATTAATTGTTTTGAGGGTGACATTTCTCGGCAGACCACCAAAATTTTCTTGCGGACCACCAGTGGTCCCCGGCCCACTGCTTGACAACCGCTGTTCTAGTCCAGCCCCTGCTTGGGACAGGAAACCCTACACCACTTCAGTCAAACGGTTAACCATCCAACCATCTTTTTAATAACTTCCGGTGTTGAAGCATCCACAACTTCTGGAGGCAAGTTGTCCCATTGATTAATTGTCCTAACAGTCTGGAAGTTTCTCCTTCATTCTAAGGATTTGCCGTTGCAAAGAGGTCTAAGTGGTTTGCCATTGTCTCCTTCCGAGGGCTGAGGGAGAGGGACAGGCAGTGACAGAGTCAGCCAGCTGGCTTCGTGCCCCAGGCGGGACTAGAACTCACCCTGGCCTGGTTTCTGGCTGGGGCCTAAAGTACGTGCCAAACTGGCTCCCTTAGCCTTCAATCGTGCCTTTTTGGTTTAGTTTTTAAAATCATTAAACCATGATTCATTACAAAGCAGTTATACATTCAGTTGTTTTACTAATTTAAACCATGAATTATGAATGAACGTTGACTGTTTCTTACAAGTTTGCATGTTTTATGAACGCGGCCCACAAATTAACACATTTTATGTAATGCGGCTCCCACGTTTGAGTTTGAAACCCCTGTTTAAACCGTTGGAAGGCTGAAAGCTTCGGTTTAGATCTGCAAATAATTTAACTGCAAAGTTAACCGTGACTTCTCAGATTCCCTGAAAACACAGTGTAAAAGGTTATCTAATCTTTCTTCCCCTTTTCTGACAGCACATGTGTCATCTTCAAGTCAGCCTCACCTTCACCCGGATAAGTCTAATGATGAATAAATGCGTTGGATAAGTACTTCCGTTGCCCCATTCATCAGAGTCAAGAATCATCGGGTACAACACTTAATGGTAGTCATAGGGTACAATAAGAATAGAATGGAATGGAATGGAATATGGAATGGAATGGAATGCAATGCAATGCAATGGAGTAGAATAGAATAGAATAGAATAGAATAGAATAGAATAGAATAGAATAGAAGAGAATAGAATAGAATAGAATAGAATAGAATAGAATAGAACAGAATAGAATAGAATACTGGAATGAAGAACAGAACAGAACAGAACAGAACAGAATAGAATAGAACAGGAATTATTTATTGACCAAGTGTGATTGGACACACAAGGAATTTGTCTTGGTGCAAATAATCTCAGCGTACATAAAAAGAAAAGATCCATTCGTCCAGAGTCAAGAATCATCAGGTACAACACTTAATGATAGCCATAGGGTACAATAAGCAATCAAATCATGATTGGAAGAACTGCAGTGATTCACTGAACGGCGACTAGAAAAGTCACAAAATGGAATGAAAGTCATTTACCAACTGCCTCACTTAGCAACAGAAATGTGGGGCTCTACTGCGGTGGTAAGTCAAGGACCCCCTGTAGTACAAGTTCCTACCCACCTGCCACTACTCTGCACATTTTTTGGCCAGCCTTTTACCATCTTTTTCTTTCATTGTTCTTTTCCCCCCCTAAATATATAAAAGCGAAAGACCCCTCACGCATCATCACAAAATCTGCAGAACCATAAAGCCTATAAACTTGAAATTTGACCCATAGGTTCCTCTTGGCTTCTAGGGGCTCACTAGAGAAAGAAAGGATTTTTCAAAATGACCATCAGAGCATTTAGAGTATTTCCTATATTCTTATTATTATTAACACGCTCTGATGCTAAGGAGTTCTACTCCCCCTCCCCACCTGGAAAGAAATCTCTTCCAAAGGCAAAACACAAGCAGAGGAGTTTCAGTTTCAGAGGACCAAGCAGCTTTAGTCCAGAACAGTTGAGCTAAGCCACGCCCAGGCTCCTTGCTGTCTCCTTCTTGCTCACACAGCAAATACCGTTTCAGTTTCCAAACAGCCCTCAACTCTCTCACACACTGACAGGATGCTAGCCAGATGGATACCAATGGATGCTGGTAGGTAGAGGCAGAATTTTTCTCCCTCTTATTTTCCTCCCCCAAAACGAAACCCAACCACATACTTTCGTAGCGAAGCACGGGTATAAGAGCTGGTTATTGTATAAAATGGCAAAACAAGAAGAGAAAATAGGAAATTAAGGGAAGGAAAGGGAATGGGGAAAAGGGGGTGTGAGATAAAAGGGGGAAGAGAAAGAGAAATAAAAGGGGGCCTTGACTTCCAACCCTTCCTAGCACCGTACGAGATAAACGAACTCCAGCCTCCACTTTTTACTTTTACACACTGATATTTCGCTAGCCAGAAATAATCTTTCTGATCCACAAAACCAAGATCAAAGTTTCAATTCTTTTTTTTTTTCCCCTCTTCACGAGCAGAAGCTTTTTACCATCTTGATGATCTCGGGATAGAGCGGCTCGATCAGGATGCCACGGTTGGTGGCCACACACTCCACCAGTTCGTTCAGGGCTGCCCGCTTGATCTCCTTGCCTTTCAGGTCAGCGACGCAGTCCAGGAAGTCGAAGACGATGGAGCATTGCTGCAGCTTCTTGCACAGAAGGTCGTGCAGCTCTGAAACCGGAGCGTCTGCAAGGGGAAAGCAGAGAGGCCGTGAGCACTCACAGAGCAACAGCCCTTCAGACGTCTGTATCCTGCTTCTCAGTGCCTTTCCAGCCCTCTCTGAGCGGTTTCCAGAGCCGGCCTCTTGCCCCCAACAATCTGGGCCCTCGTTTTACCCACCTCAGAAGGAGGGAAGGCTGAGTCGACCTTGAGCCAGTCAGGATCAAACAGCTAGCAGTGGGCAGAGTTAGCCTGCAATACTACATTCTGACCAGGAGGGAGGGAGGGAGGGAGGGAGGGAGGAAGGAAGGGCAATATAGCAATAGCCCTTGAACTTATAGCCCGCTTCACAGTCCTTTCCAGCCCGCTCTCAGCAGTTTACAGAGTCAGCCTCTTGCCCCCAACAATTTGGGTCCTCATTTTACCGACCACGGAAGGATGGAAGGCTGAATCAACCTTGAGCCAGTGAGAATCGAACTGCTGGCAGTTGGCAGAGTTAGCCTGTAATACTGTATTCTAACAGGAAGGAAGGAAGGAAGGAAGGAAGGAAGGAAGGAAGGAAGGAAGGAAGGAAGGAAGGACAGTAGCAATAGCATTTAGACACTTATATACCACTTTATAATGCTTTACAGCCCTCTCAAAGCGGTTTACCTCGTGCCCCCAACAATTGGGTCCTCATTTTACCGACCTCGGAAGGAAGGAAGGCTGAGTCAACCTTGGGCTTGTTAGGATGGAACTGCTGGCAGTGGGCAGAGTCAGCCTGCAATGTTGCACTCTGACCACTGTGCCACCATGGCAATAGGATAGAATAAATATTGGAATGAAGGTTAGAGTAGAGTAGAATATTGGAATGAAAGAATAGAACAGAATATTTATAGACTGCTTCCGTGTGTTTACAGCCCTCTCTAAGCTTTTTATGGAATCAGCCTCTAGGCCTCAAAATCTAGGTCCTCATTTTCCCGGCCTCGGAAGAAGGGAAGGCTGAGCCAACCTGGAGCCAATGAGAATGTGTGCTCAGAGTTTCTGAGGAGGGACAGAGTTCCCACCCTTCCCCACAGAAGAGCCAGGATTATGCCCTAACTAGCACTGGAGGTTTAGACCAAACATGTTGTTGTTTTTCTGCGAGAAATTCCTGGATCTGGGATGGTTCCAGTGTTCAGTACGGCCTCTACGTCTTGTTGAGAGCAATAGCAATGGAGCTTATGCTACTTTAATATACCGCTTTAGCCCTCTCTATGCAGTTTACAGAGTCAGCCTCTTGCCCCCAACAATTTTACCCACCTCGGAAGGATGGAAGGCTGAGTCAACCTTGAGCTGGTCAGAATCGAACTGCTGGCAGTGGGCAGAGTCAGCCTGCAATGCTAAATTCTAGCCACCGCGCCACCACAGCTCGTACAATGGGACCCTCCATGAGAAAGCAGAGGCCCCGTGAGAATTTACACAGCATCCCATATGAGAAAGCAGGGGGCTCATATGTTGGAAGCACATACGTGGCTGTCTCTTTCCCTTCATTGCAATCCGGCTTTGACTGGCGCAACATGCGTGACATATCCTTTCACTCTTTTCCATTATTTTTTTTGGAAGGGAAAGACCAGAGCTGCTGAGCATTACCAAAAGATGTGCTTACAACCGTCAACAACGTCGGAAATCCAACCGGTTGTGGGAAAGCACCAACGGCTCAGAATTGCATTGGGAAAGCTGCATCTCTAATGCCACAGAGCCTGGCAAAAGACACACACACACACACACACACACACACCCTTCTATCTCTGGGGGCTAATTGCTATGGAGCAACTTCACGGCAAGAGCAATTAACAGAGTATTTTAATTATGGCGCTTTACACCACGCTTCAAAGATAGCTCGTAAAACCTTCATCGCTTAGTGCTGTACCCGGGAAATATCACAATTCAAAGATGGGTGACTTACAACCTGTGCGTTTTTTTTAAAGCTCTGCTGGCTGGGGAATTCTGGGAGTTAAAGTCCACAAGTCTTAAAGTTGCCAAGTTTGGGAACCCCTGTTTTAAAGAGTCCCCAGGACCCAAACACCAACAGAAAACCATTCCCAAAATAACTTGCAGGGCTGGGTTCACCCAAGCCCGCCAGAAAGTGAGGCTGAACTCATACAAAAAAAAAAAGAGGTGATCTACTTAATAATACACACGATCACTGCAGCAAGGTTAGCTTTTGCTCAAAAGTGGAAAGATAAAAGAAATTCCTGATGAAGATGATGTATTAAAAAAGATTTGGACTTGCACTGAGATGGACAAATTAACTTTAGAAATATGACTATTATTAAGTGTTGTACTTTATGATTCTTGAATCCTGACAAATGTCTCTTTTCTTTTATGTACACTGAGAGCATTTGCACCAAGACAAATTCTTTGTGTGTCCAACCACACCTGGCCAATAAAAGAATACCATTCTATTCTATTCTATTCTATTCTATTCTATTCTATTCTATTCTAT